GCCTTTCTCCACAGCCCCATCCCTCAGGCCTCCACCCCAGCGTCCTGCTGTCCCCACTCCTGGACAGGGGCTCTGAGAATCATAAACTAGAACACAGCCCTCCCCTGCTTACATACTTTCCGTGGCTCCCTATTACCATCAGAGTGAAAACCAAATCTTTCCCTCAACCTGCATAGGCCAGCCCCCACCCACCATCTCGGTATCACCCCCTCTACCGCTCCCTCGTCAGGCCATTCCAGCCACACTCGCCTCCTCACAGTCCTTGAACACCCAAAGCTTGCTGCCTGCTGTTCCCTCTGCCTCAGACACTGTCCTCCGGCTTCCCCGAAGGCTGGCTCCGTTGCTCCTTCCGATCTCTGCTGGGGTCCCCTCCTAAGGAAGGCCCCCAACCCTGCTCACTCATCACCCCACCCTGGCTAGGCCATCTGTTGGAGACTGAATGTTGAGAGTCCTAACCCCTCGTATAGGTGGCTATGGCCTTATTTGGAAATACAGTCTTTGCAGATTTAGTAAAAATGTAAGATGGGGTCGTACTGGACTAGGGTGGGCCTTACATGCAATGACTGGTGACCTCAGAAGAAGAGAAGAGACACACAGGAGAGAAGTCCATGTGACCACAAAGGCAGAGACTGGAGCGATGCAGCCACAGCCAAGGATGCCCGAGCCTCCTGGAGCTGGAGGAGGCAGAAAGGACCCTCCCTTGGAGCTTTTTGGGGGAGCACAGCCCTGCTGACACCTGGATTTCCGACTTCCAGCCTCCAGAACTGAGATAATACACTTCCCAGAACACAGTCCCCCAGCGTGTGGGGCTCTGTCCCAGCAGCCCCAGGACACTGATTCACCACCAAATGCCTGTCTAAACTTCACAGCACCGCTGCCTTCTGATGGTGCCTCTCTCAGTTTGGTTTTTCCGGTCACACCCACCTTTCCCGGGACGCCAGCAAGGTGGGGCTCAGCCTGTGTCCCAGGCCTCGGCAGGAGGGCACTGGTAGGGGCTCATAAATGTGTGTTGATTGATAAATAAAAAAGGTACAGACTTCAACTCAGGGCCTGGCGCGTACACAAAACCAGCCAGACTGGCATCACAACATGACCGCCCTGTCATCAACTCCCTCCCCATCTGCACCAGGGGAGGGAGTCACGCCCAGGTCAAGGAAACAGGAAGGCCCGGGACCTGTGGGCACTTATCCAACGTGATTTCGTTGAACACTTGACATCCCCGCCTTCCCAGAGGCAAAACTGGCCCAGGAGGAGGAAGTGAAAACCAGGATTCAGCAGCTCAGCGTCCCCAAGTTCCCCCCGTCCCCAGCCCACCTTCCTGCTTCTTGCAGTGACCCAGACAGTGTCACTGAGGGTGTGTGGAGATCCGGTGGCCCTACAGCTGCTCCTTACAACTCATGATGGCGATAAAAGCAGAGGCGAACCGAGTGTCCAACCACAGAGGACAATGGGGGACGCATCGGGTGGTTAGGAGCCCAGGGTCCTCTGGTTGAATCCCAAATCCTCCACCTAGCCAGCCGGATCGCCTCTGACAGCTCACACCCCCTCTGGTGCCTCAGTTTCCCCCTCCGTAAACCGGAGTTCAGGAGTCTCCACACTCACTGCTCTGCCTTCCCTTGGGACACCCCAGGCGCCTTCTGTGACCCACGGGCCGGGAAACTCACCAAGATGTAATCAGCCCACATGTCCCGGGCAGACTTCAGGGCCGCCTGGCGCAGCTTCATGACGTGCTCGTAGCGCGCGTCGGACCAGTGCTTGGGGCCCTCCTCGTCTTGGTAGGACCTGGGGGAGGCAGCTGTGATGTGGGGAGACACAGGCACTGCGGAGCCCAGACAGGGCCGGGCTGCAGGGCGGCCAGAGGTGGGTTCCTGGCGGAGGGGTGGAGGGGTCGGCTAAGCTGGATCTGCAGGCTGGGAAGAAGCAAGCACGGGGCACACGGGAGGAGGCAGGTATGTCTGCAGCAGGGGGCCGGCTAGTGCCAAGGCCCGGAGGGGAGGACTTCTGGGCAATCGATAGAGAAGGAAGAAAGCTCAGGAGGAGGCAGAGTCACTGGGAGAAAACACAGGGCAAAAGGAAAGTGGAACCCGTCCTCCCAGACTCAGAATCTGTGAAGCTGAGGGCAAGTCAGAGGAGTCAGAGGAGCCAGGGCTGGCACTTAAGGCTGCAGAACTGGCTAGAGAGCCGGGGCGGAGGGGCCAGGGTTCTGAGGCCGGACAATGGGGATCCATGGAGGGCGTGTGGGCAGGGGTGCAGCTGAGTCCGACAGGGGGGGCTCGCTCAGGGCAGGGCCTGGCACTCACCGGGGCTCCTCTGCCGGCCGCCACTCCACCGAGTGGTACAGATTCTTCACGGCCACCAGCCATTCCCGCAGCACGGCCGTTGTGTTGTCTGAGTTGTGGTCTGTGGCCACCCTGCGGGCGGAGGGGGACAGTCAGGGAGGTTGGGGAGCCCAAACCAGGACAGGGGAGCAGACCTGAACCTGGGCTCCGCGCCCTGGCTCAGCCTGCTCTCCGCTACACGGACGGACGGGCCAGGCGCTGCCCCCTCCGTGCCTCAGTCTCCTCATCACACGGGGTGAGGACACCTCACTAGGCTGCAGAGATTAAACAAGCTCATTTAGAAAAACACGGGAGACACTATTAGTACTACTGAGCATCTAGGACAGCGGTTCTCAACCTGTGGGTCGCGACCCCTTTGGCGGTCGAACGACCCTTTCACAGGGGTCGCCTAAGACCATCCTGCATATCAGATATTTACATGACGATTCATAACAGTAGCAACATTACAGTTATGAAGTAGCAACGAAAATAATGTTATGGTTGGGTCACAACACGAGGAACTGTATTTAAAGGGCCAGAAGGTTGAGAACCACTGATCTAGGATCTTATAAGAAGCTTAGGTACTAAATATGTGAGACTTAATAAAAATACAGCGACATCACATGGTCCCATCCACCTTCCTCCAGTCTCTCCGATGAACACCACCACCTCAACAAGCCCTGCGCGTGGGTGATCCAGGCCAGGGAGCCTGGAGCAGAGACGAGGGACACCTGGGAATCTGGTTTGACGTGGAGCCCAGGGCTATTTTCCCACGTGAACCGTTACTAAGTTGCCAACAAGGACCGCGGTGACAACAGTAACCATGAGGGCAGCGCTGGGTACCCCGTTCCCCTTCCAGGAAGGGGCCATCCCCCGCCCACGCACTCGGGTTAGAAGGCCTGATTCGGGCAGGAGTGCAAAGATCTACAGCTGGGGAGGTGCAATGTGGGCCACAGCCGCGCCCTGGCGGCCCCGGGCCCCCTTCCCGGGAGCCTGCGGGTTGAGAGGGTGAGGCAGGGCGGCCTGCCTGGGTGTGGTCCCGGATCTGCCCTCATGGGGGCCGGCAGGCAAAGCGGGGTCTTGCCCATTCGTATGCGGGACAGCGAGGGCGGGGGTCGGGACAGCAGGAAAAGGCACGCGTGGTCTGGTGCGAAGCTGGGAGACAAGAAGCAGAAGGCACGCATGGGTCTGGCCCGCCCTGCCCGGGGCCAGGACAGCTGGCGGGACGCGGGGCGGACCCGCCGACCGGGCAGCCGGCCGGACTCGGCGCCGCACTCACCACAGCGCCGTGCGCTCCCGCGGGTGGTGCAGCCGCTCCAGCGCGCCCAGCGTGGCCGGCAGCGCGTGGGCCGCGTTGCGCGCCAGCAGCGCGATGAGCACGCGCGGCGCCTGCAGCGGCGACTCGGGGCTCCAGCGCTCCTCCGGGAAGTAGGCGGCGGCGCCCGGCGGGCCCCCTGGAGGCGGCAGCGCCAGCAGCAGCAGCAGCAGCAGCTCCGGGCGCGGCCGCCCGCACCGCCGGCACGCGCGTGGGGTCGCCGCCATCGCGCCACGCGTCTCCTTTAAGCCTCTTTTCTGCCGGCAGACGAGGGCCGCGCCTTAAAGGGGCCGTCGGAGTCCCGCCGCTGCCGCGCCTTAAAGGGGAGGAGAGCGCCGGGCTGGAATCGGGCATCTGGGCCCGCCTTCCAGGCCCCGCCTCCGGACGCCTTAAAGGCACGGAGTTCAGTGTCTGTCTGACCTTCGACCCACTGCCTCCGCGGGACCCGCACTTGATGCCCCGTCCAACATGGTTTTATGAAATCCTCATCGAGGATGTTTTTTTCCAACGATTTCTAGAGAGAGTGGAAGGGAGGGAGGAGGGGGAGAGAGACACAGCCACGTGAGAGAGACACCCCCTACCGGGGCTGGGGAGCCTGCCACGGAGGTGCATGCCTTGACCAGGAGTCGAACCCGTGACCCTTCAGTCCGCAGGCCGGGGCTCTAACCACTGAGCAAACTTCCAGGGCCCACCCAACTTTTATTCGTACAATCCCTGGGCGGTACCAGGCGGACCTGGGTAATTAGGACCGGAAGACCTGAGCCTCGGTGTCCCTGGCTGCAACGCAGGTTTTATCATCCTGGGCCCCCGCCTCGCTGGGGTGCCCTCCAGGCTTATTGGGTATTAAGCGCGTGGACCCTGGTGTCCCCAGCCGCCCTGCATGGGCTGCTGCGTGAGCCTTCCTGTGTCCACTGTAAACCAGGGTTCTGCTGACCCCGCAGGGCTGGCGTAAAGAGGAGCCACGTGATGCTTTCACGGGCTGAGCACGTGCCCAGAGGCAGGATGGCTTTTCCATGGAAATGTTACCAGGAGACTGTTTTCCAATTCTGGGTGTATTTTCTAAATGATTGTGTTGGGGTCATTCTTAAAAATTAAATGTTACGAATGATGCTCCAGCCTTGGCTGGTTTGGCTCAGTGGATAGAGCCTCGGCCTGCGGACTAAAGGGTCCCAGGTTCGATTCCCATCAAGGGCACATGCTCGGGTTGGGGGCTCGGTCCCCAGTAGGGGGCGTGCAGGATTCCCTCTCATCATTGATGTTTCTATCTCCTCCTTCCTATCTGAAATCAATAAAAATATTTTTTAAAAAATAAAAGAGTAGACAATATTGAAAGAACATAATTTTTTAAAAAAAGAATGATGCTCAGATGTATATTTATTAATGTGCATGGCAGAGGGTTACGGTTGCTAGGTAAAATTCAGGGACGGGGTTGTATGTCCTGGTTGGCATGCAAGATGGGAGCTTGGGGTGCGGGGGAGCCCCAAACCTCCCAGCTCCTCTATGGAGTCAGGTGACACTCGCCCCTCCTCCTCTTCAGGCTCTTCCCCTGTCCATGCCCTTCCTCTAATTACTTTCCTCTACTTTGCGCCTGTTTTCTGATTTTGTTTTTTTTACAGTAATTATCTGCACAAGTCAAGTTTGGGGCTGAATCTTTTAGAGACGCAGCCCAGCCTTTCCTGGTTACGTGGTTTGACTCTGAGTGGAGGAAAGGGGCCTGGCAGCAAAAGGTCTTTCACATTAAGCAAGAAGAACAGGGCGACAGGCGCCTCCTGTCCTGACACACCGAGAGAAGACTGGGAGGATTCAGACCCCGGGCACACAGCGGTTTTCTCGAAGTGGGCGGGGTGACAAGTCCTTGTCGCTGCGATTTTCCCAGAATGACGTGGACATCCTGGGTAAAACGCAGCCAGCTGGACTGGACAGGGCTGTGAGGCACAAATGCATCTCAGAAGATGGTGGTGGAGGGGGACATCCGGAAACGAGAGGGAAATCTTATTCTTTGGGGAAGGCTCAAATCTCCAGGACAGAATGGGAGGAAGCCATCGCTGTGGGCTGTGCAGGCCCCCCTGAAAGCCGAGAGGAGAAGAACATTGGGGAAGTCCCTCAGGAACCGGCTCCGGAAGCAGCTGGAAGGCTTGTGATGCGGGGAAGCTGCCAAGCTCAAGTGCACAGATGACTTTTCTGGCAACACAGGGAAGTCTGTCTAAGTTCTCTCTGCTGAGAAACTTGTTACTGAGTTAAATTTGGGAACCGTGTAAGCAAACCCAAAAGGCCCACAGCAAGCTGAGAAAAAAAAATATCTGTAATCTAGATACAAAGTGTTAATACCATTAATATACACAGAGTTACCAGGGATGCATATGAAAAAGATAAAATCTGGGGAGGGGCGGGGGGGGCGGGTATGGAAATCCATGAAAAGACAATTCAATGTTAAACAACCCACAAACATATAAATGGCCAATAAACATTTTTAGATTCATTTCAGTCATCAGAGAAATTCAAAATTAAAAAATGAAATGTGTGTGCCCATCAAGTTGACATTTTTTTCTTTGATGAAAATTCCTAATATTTGGAAAGGATCTGGAGAACATGCACACATTCCGCTGGTGGAGATGTGAGAAGGCGCGGCCGTTCAGAAGAGGAGTGAGGCGGAGGTGAGCTGGTTGTGAGAGCCTTGGCTTGGTTCGTTTGACCCGGAATTCCCACTGGCAGACATTTCTCTGCTGGCATGAAGATGGCTGTGGGCAGATCAGCTCCGGAACGTCCTTGGAGGCAGCAGCGGGCAGAGCGGCTGGGCCTCAGTGCAGGAGCCTGGCTGCTTGGGGCAAGTCCCTCTCTGAGCCTCAGTTTCCTCATCTGTAAAATGGAACGTGTCACAAGGATGCCAAATAATTGGACACACCAAATGCCTGGCACGTAATAAATGCTCAGTAAACGGGATATTCGCAAGAACAATTTAATTTATAAGCACCTAGAACAAAGGTGAGCCAAGGAGAGGAACAGGGCTCCACAGGAGAGCTAAAAACGGCTCCGAAACACGTGAAAAGATGTTTATTTTCCTCTCCAAGAAGATGTGTTCATTCAAATGAAGCCAACACCCCATTTTCCACCCAGAAGGTATGAGAAATTTCCAGTCAGCTGACAGCCTGTGCAGCCTGTGGGGTAAGGGGCCACCTGCACACAGGTGAGGGGCAACAACCAGATGGGACCACACTGATGGAGAGAGTTCTGAAGACCACCACTGGAATGGCAAGCACCCATGCTCTAAACCAGCCGTGGGCAAACTAAAAAAAAATGAATAAAACTAAAAAAAAAAAAAAAAAAAGGACCGTACCCTTTTATGTAATGATGTTTACTTTGAATTTATATTAGTTCACACAAACACTCCATCCATGCTTTTGTTCCGGCCCTCCGGTCCAGTTTAAGAACCCATTGTGGCCCTCGAGTCAAAAAGTTTGCCCACCCCTGGTCTAAACCATGAGGTTTCACATCGAGGGGTTTACCCACAAACACCTGCACTTGCTGAAAAGTACATAGGAGGCCATCCCCTGTGGTGGTACCTGTTAGAGGGAACGACTAGAAGCAAAACCCATCACCACTTAGATTCTGCTTAAATAGATTAAGGAGCTCCCCTACAAACGCTCATTGCCAATTGCAAATCACAAAGCATTCTGACACCCTGAAGTCTTGGTAAGAAGTCTTTGTTTAATCTCCTGTTCATCCCAATGTGTGTGAATATGCATCAGTTTATCTTCGGCGACTGGCTAAGGCAGTGGTTCTCAACCTTCTGGTCCTTTAAATACAGTTCCTCATGTTGTGACCCAACCGTAACATTATTTTCGTTGCTACTTCATAACTGTAATGTTGCTACTGTTATGAATCATAATGTAAATATCTGATATGCAGGATGGTCTTAGGCGACCCCTGTGAAAGGGTCGTTCGACCGCCAAAGGGGTCGCGACCCACAGGTTGAGAACCGCTGGCTAAGGGATACTGCCCTAGATCCGTGTTAGTTAGCTATAGCTGCATAACAAATGACCCCTAAAGTTAGCAGCTGAAAACAACACACATCTATTATCTCAGCGTTCCCATGGGGGAAGAACATGGATGCAGTTTAGCCGGGTGGGTTCCCAAAGCTCTCGTAACAGCAGTTCCCCAGGAGCCGTGAGCCACTCTCGAATCCCGGCTCCCATCTTGCAGGGCCCTTGCTCAGGGTGAGCCCAAGGCTCCCACCACCACCACCTCGCCTTTCAGTGTTGGGAACTAGCGGCTGCTGGGAGAGGCCCCGCCGAGTTTTGGCCAGATGAGATGGGACGCAAATTCATGGCAGAGCCTGGGCTAAGAGGGTCCCTGTGTGGCTCCAGCACACTCCGTGTCTCCCCACTGCTCTTGTTCCCCATGAGCCTGGCCAGACCAGCCACATCAGGAGACAGGTGGATGCTGTTCCATCCAGGAACCTACACTTTCAACAATCCCATACACCCTGTAACGCCCACCCCCCCACCCCATCAATTCACTGGCCTGGCCCAAGAACCTGTGAGGTCCTCACCTGCTCCCGCCTGGTCCCATGGCTCCTCTGAGCAGCTGTCCAGAGTACAGGATACGTCGCTGGTACCGAGGGCCTTTTTCAGCTCTGAAACAACAGATAACTCCCTGGACCCACCTGGAGAAGTCCGGGCATCAAAAGGCTTCCATCATTCCCCCAAAGAAGCCACAAAAGGGCAAAGGATGGAGGAAAGGGCTCAACCAAGAACTTTAAACAAATGGCTTATTTGAGCCTCTCTCCCTGCCTGTGCGCAAGGCAGACATTGCTAGCTGATCCCCGACATCTTCACTGAGCCAGATGGTACCAGCTCCAGCTCCAAACACTGCATTCCAAGCAGATGTCACAAATCCATTAAGGATCAAACCCCCTAAGGACATGGAAAACCTCTGGGAATGGAGGTGTTACCTGTTTTGGGATCCCCTCCCCCAATCAGAGAATAGCCTTTTTTCATTTAAAGTGTCCCCTATTCAAAAACTCGGGGTTTTTTGCCCTGACCGGTTTGGCTCAGTGGATAGAGCATCGGCCTGCGGACTCAAGGGTCCCAGGTTCGAGTCTGGTCAAGGGCATGTACCTTGGTTGCGGGCACATCCCCAGTAGGGAGATGTGCAGGAGGCAGCTGATCAATGTTCTTTCTCATCGATGTTCTAATTCTCTATCCCTCTCCTTTCCTCTCTGTAAAAAAAAAAAAAAAAAAAAAAATCAATAAAACATATTAAAAAAAAAAAAAAGAACTCGGGGTTTTTTGTTCAGCTACCCACAGATGGAGCCCACATCCTCACCCTTACTTCCTGCTCCCAAAACTCTGCTGCCGCCTATCAAGCTGCTCTGCGTCCCTTCTTCCTCTTTATGTCCTTCAAATACAGGCTCTCAGGGATGCCTCCCTTTCCCTACACTCCATTCGCAGGTGGCGGGCTCTCCTGTGTACTCGGCGACACCCAGGCCAGCAATTCTGGCACCTCTGCTCCTGCCTCATCCTCATCACTGGGCTCCGTCCGCTTGGTAGCTGCCCCTGCTTCGGCCCATCATTTGTTCCCAGGGCCGAGCCCTCGGCCTCCTCCCTCATTTTCAGCCTGGCCACCGTCATCCCCTGCTCACACCCCCTCCATGACTCCCAATTGCCTGTCATTCAAGCCCCTGCATGTCTTCCTTCGGCAGCCTCCAGCCTCCTCTCCACCTGTTGTCTCTCCCTCCCTCGGTGAGGGCCGCGTGGATGCCCTGAGTCGCCATTACATGCTGCTCAGCCCCAAGTTACTGCACGCGCCTCAGCAGCACAGACATTGGGTCCTGAGTGAACAGACCAGGCAGGAGGGAGAAGAGACAGTTCTGGAGCCTCTTCCCAGGGCGGGAGGTCCTGGGAGGCCGAGCCCACGTCCAAGAACTCCTGGGGGCTCAGTGCCAGCAGCGAAACACAGGCGGCGATTGTTGAATGACTAAATGTGAATGTCTACCTGCAGTTTTTTAATTTTGCCTCTTTCCCCTCATCCTAGAAGTCCTACACACCCCTGAGAGCTTCGTTCCAATGCCCTCACCCAGGGAGCTGCTATCACTGCCCGTCCAGGCTTGTCCACCTCTGTCCTGGGCTGGACCCGCAGTCACAAGGCTAGTGTTCACAGGAAGTGAGGTAACTGGGCTCAGGGGTCACCAGGCTCCCCCGAGCCACAGGGGGAGGCTCACCTCCGTCGATCCTCTGCTGCAGGACCCCCCGGATGACATCCTCATAGATGCCCTCGATGGTCAGGGCGGGGCTGCCCACAGCAAGAACGTCCCCTTCCAACTCAAGCAGCTCCTGGAATGGAGGTGGGCAGGGGCTGGGCTGGAGGGGTGGGCACTTTGCAGGTGCCAGCTCCCGCTCTGACCCTGGTCTAGGTACCTGGGCGGCCTTGAGCCCCATTTTCCTCGTCTTTAAAATGGACTCCGTGACCTGTGCTCCCTCGGGTTGCCGTGGGAGATAAAACAAGCACCTCCCACCTCAACAGGAATAGCACAGATGTCTCTTCCAGGACCCCCCACAGCCACTTCCTCTAGGGGAGCCGGTTGGCACCTGAAACCAAGCCCTGCCTGGTGCCCGTAAGCCCTGTGTGGCCAGGCCCCTGTGACCTCTCCCCTCAGCCCTTTCCCACCGCCTCACTGTTCCCTAACACGCTAGCCCAGGCCTACCTCAGGGCTTTTGCACATGCTGTGCCCTCTGCCTGGAAGCCCCTTCCCTGGGACATGGCTCATGCCTTCAGCTCACTCCCTCTCCGGTGTCATCTTCTCAGGGAGAGCCTCCATGCCCATAGCCCCCCACACACACTTCCCCTCTCTCCTCCCTTCTCTGAAACCTGTCACCTGCTAGGTGCGATGCATGTGCCCTCACCCCAGCTCTCAAGTGACCGATACTGAGCACTGTCATGGGAGAAGCAGAGGGCATTTGTGAGAGCCCCCTGGAGCCCCAGAGCTCAGGGAACAAAAGTCTCTAATTGTCACAGCGGCTCTGTGCGGGAGCGAGCACTTCGTAGAGAGATACAGATGCTTGGTCACGCCCCTCCCCTGCCTGCATGTCCCCCACTCGCTCACCGCTTTGCAGCGCGGCTCCAGCTGGCTCAGCACGAAGGGCAAAAAGATGCAGAGCTGCCACCCGCGGACGAACCTCCTCCGCGCTGAGCCACTGTCCGACTGGAACTTCTGCACGACACACACAGTGGCCAGTCCAGTGGCCATCGGGGCACCCAGGCCCACGTCCAGGCCCTCCCCGCAGACCTCACCTTCAGCACGCGCCCCCTGACTTTCTCCAGCTGCTGGGCAGCCTGGTTGCAGTCCAGGGCACTGGTCAGACACTGGTCGGCCAGCTGCAGGAAGGTGGCCACGGCGTCGGCCATGAGCTGCGGAGGGAGGAACTGGGATGACTCCCGGGTAATTCACTCTCTGGCCTTACCAGCCTCAAGAAACAACACCTCCTGCCCGGCCGGTGTGGCTCAGTGGGTGAGCGTCGACCTATGAACCAGGAGGTCACAGTTCAACTCCCAGTCAGGGCACATGCCTGGGCGCCATCCCCAATAGGGGGTGTGCAGGAGGCATCGGGTCAATGATTCTCTCATCATCGATGTTTCTATCTCTCTCTCCCTCTCCCTTCCCCTCTCTCTAGTCAAGAAAAACATTTAAAAAAAAAAAAAAAAGCACCTCCTCTCAGGAGCCAGGGATCACCCAGTCGGTGGGGGCCTACGTGCCAACTGGGAGAACGGTGCCGGGTGCCCAGGCTGGGGAGCAGCGGGCGGGCTGGATTCCGCCTCATCGGCAGAGTGCTCCTGAGCAGTATGCAGACTGAACAACTGTGCGGGGCACCACTGGGTCTTCTGAATCCCTGTCTCCTTCACTTACCATGTCTTTTAGCAGGTCCCGTCCCCTTGGCCTTCAAAACACACCTGCTTCTCCTCACCAATAGCACCCAACTAGTGGAGGCCTCCGCCCCTCCTGCCCCCCACAGCCCATGCTTCCCAAGGCAGGTGTGGCTTCTGAACTTTACATTTGGTCACGCCCCTCCCCTGCTGTGGCTCCCCATTGCCCTTGGGACAGAGCCCGGCCTCTTAACCCCATACAGAGGGTCCTGACCCATTTGCCCACTCTCCCCACTGGCACATCTCCCACCTTTCTGCCCTCCCTGGAAACCTACAACCCAATGTCTCTCAATTGTTCAATTTCTCCAAAGGCAGACAAGCTTTCTCCCTTCCCAGCACGTACACACACGGATCCTCTACCCAGGACACGCCCCACCCCCATTCCTCCCACTGCTGCCCCCACTTGGAAGTCCTCTCCTGGAAATCCTCCCAACCCTTGAGACTGACCAAGCACGTCCGTGGAGGTCGCACAGCACCTTGTGCATCCGCACCACAGCCCTGTCCATCCCGTGCCCACGGCCTGGTCATGGTTCATGTCTACATGACACCGGGAGCCCAGCGAGGGAGGCCAGGTCTGTCTCAGTCACCACGATCTCCCCAGCACACAATCGACACCTGCTCAGTGAAGGTAGCTGCCTTGGCCTCACCTGTTGTGCGAGATCCTGGGCCCCAAACACCAGACTTCGTGCTCCGAGGAAGCCAAACGGCACCACCAGCTGCTCCAGGCGGCCCCGGCCCCGCTCAGCCTCGCGGTAGCAAGCCTGCATCAGCTCCGGATCCCACGGCATCTCCCCAAAGGAGTAAACCTGTGCTCCAACGGCAGTCAGGTGAGAGAACACCATCAGCTGATGGAAAAGCAGGGCCCAGGGCCTCACAGCCGATGCAGCGAAGGAAAGACACAAATGGGAACACATCTTACCTTGGCTATCACCACAAAAATGCACAATAAAAGCAACAGTAAGGTGTGGTGTGATGGGCATAAAACGGTAAGACCTGGAAAAATGGTAACATGCGGTGCCGGCAGGACTGAGGGGAAGTGGGCACACTCAGTCCTTGTGGCACCTATGCCCACCATCTGGTGGCCTCTCGGGGCTGAGCCCTAGGCCTGCATGAGTGGAGTCATCCAACACCTCTGGGAGCTCAGAGGAAAGTTTGGGGCGATAGACTGGAGACAATCAACCACAATGGTGTGTAACTGCCTTCGTGATGAGGGAGGCACAGGCAGCTGCAGATGCAGAGAGGGGCCAGGGACAGTTCCGGATGGAGGTGATTAGGGAGTGGATGCGCAATGAGTGGAAGGTGCTTAGTAGGTGCTCATTTAATGTCAGAAGAACTGAGCTGACCTGCATGGAGCAGAATTCTCTGGGGACAGGGAGGGCTCTGGCTAAACAGAGGAATGGCAGGAGGGAGAGTTTGTGGGGAAGGTGACTCCAAACTGACATTATTACGTGCTACTCTCATCATCTTACCCCTTTCCCCACATTTTAAACAGTGTGCTGATAACCATAGCATGGTTGTCCATAATAAGAAGAAAAAAAACAGCCTAGAAAAAGATTGTTTTAAGGTTCTTAAAAAGAAAAGGTTGTCAAACAAGAAAGATGCAAGCTCTTCTATGAAGTTAACAGCCCTCACCCGCTAGAGCCCACCTCTTTCCGCAGCCGGGCGCCCGAGGGATTCCCACGCAGGTGGCGGCCCAGGCGGTCCATGCCCTGGGCTAGGAGGGTCTGCACGGCCGCCAGTGCTGCTCCCACCATGTCCAGCAGAGTCTGCGTGACCCGGGGCAGCTGTGCGTCCACCCTCCTGCGCAGGCAGCACTCCAGGGCGCCCTGGACTTCGGCTGAGGGCGGAAGGCACTGGCCTGGGTCTCCCTCGCCACGTGCTCCGCAAGTGGAGTCCTGGGAGACCCGAGGCTCCGCAGGGTGAGGTGGGCGGAACGCGGACTGAGCACCCGCTCCGCCCCATTTTCCTGAGAAACGAGGCTTCGCTTGGAGTGCGGTGGGGTCGGCTCAGAAGCGATGCCGGGAAGGCCGAGTCCGGATGCCAGCCCGGCTCACGTTGTACCTGAGCCGAGTGGGCGCCCCTCCGCCATCTGGCTGAGCAACCCGGCTCAGACGTGCCACCGCCAGGGCCTCCTGTCCTCTCCACAACTAGACGCACCCGCCCCATCCCTGGCCGGACCCCTTTTCCCCGGCCGCCCTCCTCCTGACCCCGCCCCGGTCCAGGCACAGCCGCAGGGCCACGCCCATCCTCCTGCTTAGTCCCCGCCTGTCGTGCCACGCCCTCCCACCTCCAGCCCCGCCCCTGCGCGTCTTCAGCTCCCGGGCTCCAGGCCCCGCCCCTACACCCACCTGGACCCCTTCTTTCTCTCAGGCTCCCGGCCCCGCCCCACCAGGCCCCGCCCTGTCCCCCAGGTCCCGCCCCGCCCCACAAAGGCCCCGCCCTTATACCCACCTGGGTCCCTTCTTTCAGGTTCCCGGCCCCGCCCCGCCCTCCAGGCCCCGCCCCTTACAACCACCTGGGTCCCCTTCTTTCTCTCAGGCTCCCGGCCCCGCCCCTCCAGGCCCCGCCCTGTCCCCCAGGCCCCGCCCCTCCAGGCCCCGCCCCTTACAACCACCTGGGTCCCCTTCTTTCTCTCAGGCTCCCGGCCCCTCCCCGCCCGACCCCGCCCCGTCCCCCAGGCTCACTCCGCAGCTTCCCTGCCACGCGCCCCCGCAGCCCCATCAGCTGGTCCACGTCGGGGCGGATCGTCCTCTCCAGGGCCGCGAGCAACTCGTCTTTTTCGGGCTGGAAGGCGCGGAGCCCTGCGGAGGCCCCGGCCAGGACAGCGGCGTGAACCGCATCCAGGAGCTGCGGGGATCAGCCCAGGGATGCCACGGCCCGGAGCGCAGGATGGAGGGACAGACGGACGGATAGAGACAAACACGCGGAGAGAGACGGAGAGTTTAGGCGACAGTCCGAGGAGGCGAAGCTGGGTGCCCGGGTCGGCTCCCATCCCCTCCGCAATGTCCGCCCCCCCGCCCGCCGCACCCCTCCCCAGCCCCGTGTCCCTGCGGCACCTCCGCGACCCCGCGCGCACCTCGGTCCAGGCCCAGGCCCTGGCTCGGCCGGTCCCCCGCAAGCCCGGCTGGGTCTGGGCTCGCAGCGCCGGCAGCAGCTCCCGCACCAGCACTGCGGTCAGCACCTGCAGGAGAGGGGACCTGTGCTCCGGTGAAGGCCGAGGGGGCTTCTGGGGGTCCGGATAGGGCCTTGCACGGCACTGACCTCCGCGTCCGAGCCCAGCGTCATGTCGTCGTGGCCAAAGTGGCCTCGGTGCTGCCGGTAGAGCCGTACGGCCTCCAGGAAGGCACGGGCGGCGGGGGCCTGGCTTCGCTGTAGGACTGGGGCGAGGGGGGAGGCTCCTGAGTGCCCACCCACCCTCCTCTGCTCTCGCTCTGCCTGGCTCCCCTGCTCCCCAAGAGGACGGAAGCCCTCGTCCTTCCTGCCAGGTCCTGAACACCCAGGTCACACCCACCTCCAGACCTTGGCCCTCGCAGGGAACACGCTCCCCAAGACCTCGCCAGCCCATCAGGAGCCTTTACACAGTGTAGGAAAGGCACCCCTGCGGCAGCCACAGCCACGCTGCACTGCGTCTTCCTGCCTCTCCATTCGGGTTCATTGGTTCCGCCAACAGCCTGCCCACTTGTTTGTGTTGGTCCTGTTCCCTGTATCGCTGGTTGGCCCCTCCTCTTTTTTGGACCTCAGCTTGGGCATCCCCTCCTCTCAGAAACCCTCCCTGATCCCCCAGGGGAAGCTCCCACCAGGCAGTGTCCCCGTCACATCCCTATCCTGTCTGTCTCCCCCCACAACCCATTTTATAGATAAGGAAACAGACTGGGTGTGGGTCCTACAGCCAGCAGGGGCAGAGCCCCATCCCTGCCTGACCTTCCCCGGGGCCCACCTGTGCCACGGAGCCGGATGCCACCCTGCAGGGCCAGCCTCCACGCGCGCTGCGCCTCCGCTGTGGCTGCAGAGAAACAGAGGTGCCTTCGGAAGGGGTGCTGCAGGAACAGGGGGAAGCTCACGGGCGTTTCCAGGAGGGGGTCAGGCTCCTCCTGCGTGTGGTCTCCTGAAAGGAGGCAGAGGGGTCACAGCTGCATTCATGACTTTGCTCTACAATCATTCATTCAGCAGGAGAAAGTAACCATGAAATGCTTAGAGGAGGTGCTCAACATGCGTGTAATCCGTGCTACAGCTGCAGTGTCCGTATTCCAGCTCAGTCTCCAGGGAGGATGTGCCCGGGCATGAGCAATTCATCCCAGCACTGTCTCCCAGCCTCTGCGTCCTCCTCAACACGGTGGCCTGGGCAGCCACCAACAACCTATCCTAGTTGGCCTGTGAGCTGAGCCCTGCTTGCAGGGGGGTCTGGAGCCAGCCATGCCCAGGTTCAAACTTGGCCAAACCATTTTCTGTGTGTAGGGCACCGTTTTTCATCTCTCTGATCCTGTAAAATGGGTTCGAAGGTGTTATTGATGACCTAGAGTGGTTGGGAGGACACAGTGGGTGGATTTTATTCTGTTTAATCTATTTGAGGCCTCCTAAAATCCTCAGTGTTTTGTCCTGATCTCCAGAGTAGTATATACAGACTGCAGGGAAACACATTCATTTTGCTGGGAGAGAGGTTGGTCACTGGACCAGAAGCAAAGCAGCAAAGGGTGACACAAAGGGGTATGTGGGTGGATCCCAATGTTTGCACCGTCCTCGTCCTCAACATGACTGCAGCCTGTCCTTGTTGCTGCATTGGCATCAGTGGCTGGCAAGATAGCGCCTCAGTGAAGTCAGTGACGCAGTTCTAGCCAGATCTGAGCCTTACTGATGTATGACAGGCCTCGGCCTCAGCCTCGTGCATGCATCTGTGGCATGAGGTAGCTAGTGTTGGGGCTGCCTGATATTCATGAGATAACGCAAGCCCTCAGATGCATCCAGCCCAGCTGTGCCGCGCCTTTCCCTGTTCCTGCACAGTGTGCCCTGGGAGGGAGGGAGGGAGAGATTGAGAAAGAGAGGAGGCCAGGGGAGGGAGAGGAGAACGGGCAATGGAAGGAGAAAAGGAGGGAGGGAAAGAGGGAGGAAGTTAGAGAAAGAGAGAGAGAGGAGGGTGGGGAGGAGGAGAAGAGAGAATGGAAGAGGGGCGGGAGGAAGGGAGAACCTCCTGGAAACGCTAGACTGAAGCATCACCCAGCACCTCCCCCCCACACACACCAGTGCCCATCTCCCCACAGACTCGCTGCTGCAGGGCTTGTGTTCACTGCTCTGCTACTTTGGTTCTGGTCCCGTGACCAGCCTCTCTCGCTGATGAGAACGGTGTTTCTCTTTCTAGAGTTGGGCTTCTTATCCAGAAACAACGCTGCCCCCCAGGGACACGTGCCCATGTCTAGAGACGCATTTGGTGGTCACACTTCGGGGGGGGGGGGGGCCTACTGGCATCTAGTGGGTGGCGACAGGGATTCTGTTCAACATCCTGCCATGCTCAGGGCAGCCCCACTGACGGGGCCCCGGTGTCAACAGCACTGAAGTAGAGACACCTGCTTTTGGGGTCCCCGGGCCTTACCTGAGGAGTCTGGGCAGAGAGTGTCCAACAGGTGGAGGTACTCGCGCTGGGACGTCAGGACTGTGTACCCTGTCAGGGCCGCGGAGCCCAGGGATCGGCCCCCGTTTTCATATTCCTACGGAAAGTGTCCAAAGAACCCCGTTGGGACGGGTCTAACCTGTGGCTTCCACGTCTCAGTGCAGGACCTGGGGAAGGTCTGGGGTTAGATGGGGAAATCCCCAGCTCCCTCCCTGCCTCCACCTCCCCCCTCCTCCTCCACAGAAGCTCTGCAGCCGCCACTGTGCGCTGGGCCGGTGGGGTTGTCTCACTGAGTCAGACAGCCCCGTGCTTCGTGGGCCAGCATCACCCGTCTCATAAGGTGGAAACTGCCTCCCAGGGCATCAAGGGACCTGAGTGAATTCCCCAGCCGGGAAGCAGGGCGTGGGCCTGACGCACGCGGCCTAACAGGGCTTCAACCTCGGCTCTGCTGACGACCATGAGTGACCCCTACCCTGGTCCCTGGCCTCAGTCCATCCACCTGGCACAACAGGAGATGGTCGCCCGGCCCAGGCCAGGGACACAGGGGCCCTCGATTCAGGCTAGATGATTGAAGAGAGGAGAGGGGCTATGCTGGTAGCCGGACCCTAAGCCCACTCTGGGGAGGGCAGGATGGAGAATCTGGAGGCCAAAGGGACACAAGCCACTCACTCACCTCCCTGTGGCTGAACCACTCCAGGTGGCCATTCCCACGCAGGACACAGAAGATGGGCTGCCACTGGGGTGGGAGGCCCCGCAGCTGGGTCAGGGGCCCGCGGTGCTCACGGACTCGGGGGAGCTTCTGTGGAGGAGGGGCTCTCAGATGTCAGGGGCCCTGGCCAGTGCCCCAGGGTCCAGACCATCAGGACAGCTCCCACAGGTGGCACTAAGCATAGGGCACTTGGGTGCCAGGTGGCACTCCTGTCTTTACCAGTCACGCTCAGAGCATGCACTTATTTGTGGCCCTTCCAAATAAGAACTGATATATCTTTTTTTTAAATTTATGTTTTTAAAATATATTTTTATTGGTTTCAGAGAGGAAGGGAGAGGGAGGAAGGGAGGGAGGGAGAGAGAGAGAGAGACATCAATGGTGAGAGAACATCATTTGATTAGCTGCCTCCTGCACGTTCCCTACTGGGGATTGAGCCTGCAACCCAGGCATGTGCCCTTGACCGGAATCGAACCCGGGACCCTTCAGTCCACAGGCAGACACTCTATCCACTGAGCCAAACCAGCTAGGGCGAGAAGTGATATACAGTGGGGCCTTGACTTACGAGTTTAATTCATTCTGAGACTGAGCTCATTAAGGAGCTCGTTAACTCAAATTACTCTATCAACTCAATGCAAAAAATCCGCCGAGAGACAGCTGGTATCTCAAAAAACTCGTTAGTCGGGACACTCGTAAGTCAAGGCCCCACTGTATCTTATTAGTTATATCACACAGCCCTGAGACAGGCATTCTTGTCATCGCCACTCCATCTGGAGGCGGACCCTTCCTCACTTGAGCCTCGGATGAGATCCCAGCCCTGGCCAGTATCTCAATTGCAACCTGTGAGAGACCCTGAAAGGAAGGACTCAGAGAAGCTGCCTCTAGATTCCTGACTCACAGAGACTGTGAGAGAAGTGTGTGTTGCTTTAAGCTACTGACTTGCAGTATATTGTCACACAGCATTAACTAAGCAATACAAGTGGAGTTGCGGGGTCCTGGGGCAGGTGTAGTGTAACTATATGAGAAAAGGCCAGGCCTCTGTCCACAGACCCTGCCCTCAGGGGGACACTTTCTCTGTCCTCTGTTTCATTTCCTTTGTCACTCTCCCTACTACCTGACACCTGAATTGTGTGTTTTGTGTCATCACTGGGTCCCAGAGCAGTGTCTGGTGCCTAGCTGGTGCTCAATAAATATACGATGAATCAATTAACTGCAACTGTGATATTTTGATTCTTTGCTGGGGTGATGGGAACTCAGTATGTTTTTAATGAGTCTCCATACCTTTTCCCAGGTCTAAACATTTTCATAAAATATTGTTAAAATGCTATTATAGAAATCCTATATAATAAAAGGCTAATATGCAAATAGACCAAACAGAGGAATGACTAATCACTATGACACGCACTGACCACCAGGGGGCAGACGCTCAACACTGGAGCTGCTCCCTGGTGGTCAGTGCGCTCCCCCTGTGGGCTCATAGCTGGTGAGCACAGCGGCGGTGGCAGGAGTCATCAGTCGCACATCCCCCAAGGACTCCAACAGATTGTGAGAGGGCGCAGTCTGGGCTAAGGGACCCCCCTGAGTGCATGAATTTCGTGCACCGGGCCTCTAGTGATATATAAAATACAAACATATAAAATAAGTATTGCCCTAGCCGGTGCTCAGCGGATAGAGCGTTGGCCCACAGACCAAAGGGTCCCGGGTTCGATTCCGGTCAAGGGCATGTACCTCGGTTGCAGGCTCCTTCCTGGCCAGGCTCTGGTCAGGGCATGTGCAAGAGGCAACCAATCGATGTGTTTCTCTCATATTGATGTTTCTCTCTGTCTTTCCCTCTCTCTTCCACTCTCTAAAAATCAATGGAAAAATATCCTTGGGTGAGGATTAAAATATGTAAGTAAGTAAGTAAATAAATGAATATTATATAAAATGCTCAAACTGAAGCAAGGGGAAGCCCCTCCACACTGCCCGAAACCCAATGTCAGCTGGGCCCTGGCCATGTGACTGAAACCAGCAGGTGGTGTAAGGTGCAGGTGGGAGTGACACCCGGGCCCCATGATGCCCCAAGAGGGACAGGGAGAGCTCTGGTTGGGAGGGTGCTCTGTGTCCACAGTGCCAGGGAGCCCCACCCCAGGGCAGGCACAGCTTGGAGAAGAGGCACCTGACTGAGGTGGGAAAACCCAGTGCCCTGATGGGGCAGGGAACCCAATGTCAGTAAGAAATATGAGCTCCGAGTTCAAATTATGCCTCTGCCTCTTGCTCATGGTACTAGTATGACCTCAAGCAGATCCCTTTGCCTTTCTGTGCCTTGGTTTCCTTGCTGGTCAAAGACCCATCTCTGGGGCTGGTAAGGATTGAGTATGTTGTGTCGGGCACATGGAAGACCTGGGTGCATTGCCAGCTCAGCAGACATATGGAGTTGGGACCAGACAGCTCCAGGTTCCTTTGCTCCATCCACAAACTATTCCTGCACCCCTATTATATGCAGGTACCATGTGGGTATGAGGAGTGGGTGTGAGGGAAAGAGGAGACTATGCCTGGCTCCTCCCTTGCAGAGCAGACCCATGGAGGTGACTAACGTGTGACCTGGGGCTTTGCTGGGATGGGGGTCTCAGGGGAGGTGCCTGACTGAGGTGGGGGCAAAGGCAATCCAGGGAGGCTTCCTGGAAGAAGTGGCAACTGAAGTACAAGGAGGAACGGAAAGTGCATGAGACAGAGGTCACCTCACATGCAAAAACTTGGGCATCCCGTGGTTGTGCTGTGTCCTTGAGTGTGGCACTCAGGGCAAGCTTTTCCCAACTTCAGGGCTTTTGCCCCAGCCGTGCCTTCTGCCTACAATGCCCTTCCCATTCTGGGCTCCAGATCTGGCTTCTTTTCATCCTTTATATCTCAGCTCAAAGGGGTCCCCTGTACCTCGACTCCCCACACCCAACTGTGCCCTTCCTCTTGATTTCCTAGCACCTATCAGAAGTTACCCTGCGTCATGATATGTTTACTTGTTTGGGGTCATTTCCCCCCAATCAGACTGTGAGCCCCAGAGAATAGAACGGGATATGTCTCGGTCTGCTGTGTCCCCAGCGTCCAGCCCAGGACACGCTAGTGAATGTGTATAGCCATCCTAGGTTCTGGCACCAGCAAGGACAAAGGTGTGAGAAGCCCCCCCACCGCCGCTGAACCAATGGCCTCCGCAGTCTTGTGTGCTCAGCAGCCCTTCCCCCTCATTTGTGGCACCCACTTTGCTGTGCAGCAGTTGGCATCCAGCCGGCTCCTGGGGGACCAGCTCCCGGGAAATCTGCTGCAGGACAGAGGCGGCCAGCTGTACGCGGTATTGAGGCAGGAAGTCCCTCAGCAGGGCCTCCACCTGGTCTGCAGGGACAAGGGAACAGCGAGGTGGCTGAATCAGGCCACCTACCAGGGGAAGACAAGCCAAGATGGAAGTAACTGGTGGGCTTCTACCGTCACCCCACACCCCAAAGTTACCCCACGAGACATCCTCCAAGTTCCATTCACCCTTAACCACCCACTGTCTGTTTCCATCCTTGGGGGACGGGAAGGGGGAGTTAAGGCACTCCAGCTTAACTTATAACTGATGCACAATAAACGTGAATAAAGCACAGAACTGAATGAACTTTCACCCATATCCACACCCAGAAACCACGATCAAGACAATGAACAGTTCCATTGCACCTGGAAGCTTTTTCACGCCCCTTACCTAGAGAATTTTTCAAAACCTTTTAAAAGCCTCAGCCCAGAACAGAGGAACTTTCTGGAGTGATGGAAGTATTCTGTATCCTGATCTAAGAGGTGGTCACACAGGTGTTAAATTTCTTCCAGCTGTTTCCCTAAGATGCACTCACTTGACTGTATGTAAAACATCCAGTCCATCTTGCTGCCTGGAATGTGGACCCAATGGCTGGAGCTTCGGCAGCCTTTATGTACCGTGAGGTGGCCTCAGACGCAGAAGCCATGCACGGCAGAACCATGAGATGGGAGAAGCTGGGTTATCTAACTTTTCTCTGCCTGCCTGCCACTGTACCCCTCTATAGGAGAGAGGAATAACTCTCTGCCTTAAGCCGCTATAGAAATACCTGACGCTTGCAGAAGAGCTGACTGAATCCATTTGTCTAATGGTGAGTTGACCTTTCCTGATCTAGATCATGAACCCGTCGTATTCCCGTGCCCAGCACACAGTAAATACTCAGCCCTGCGCATGGAGGATGAAGGGCACTGACACTTCTTTGTCTCAAATCAGGACTGTGACCCAGTCCCCGGGTCCACAGAGGGATCTGTTGATCCCTGCCCCCCTGGAACAATTATCCCCCAAGATCCGGCTGTGTCCAGGGCAGCTCCCACCTGGGCCATGCCCCACACTCCAAACCCATGCCCATAGTCAGATTGCCAGATTTATCCCCAAAATGTACATGACACCAGTTAAATTTGAATTTCAGGTAAATAAGGAATTATTTTTTAGTATAACTATGCCCTTATGCAAAATTTGGGGCATACTTATACTAAAAAAAAAAAAGTTTCTTTATTGGTTATCTGGAATTCACATTAATAGGACATCCTGCGTATCTGACAACCCTGAACCCTCCTCCCCATCCCCACCCCTCCCCACCCTCACTCACCCCTCAGGTGCTGCTGCTGCCGCTTGTCCAGGGGGCTTGAAGGCCGCCCGCCCATCCTGCTGCTGCGTCCTTTCCTGGGATGCCCTAAAGTGAAGCAGACACCCCTCTCCACCCCCGGCTCCCCAGGTTCCTCTGCTCAGGGGCACTCTGGGAGCAGGGCAGCCTGTGAGGATCCTGGATGCTATGGCGACCAGTGTCTGGGGTCAAAAGCCAGAGCTTGGCCCTCCCATTGTGTGTGCTGGGGGGTGAGGATGCCCGCCCCCTGCCCCACCCAACCCTGCACCTGCGTCCTCCCAACTCCCCTGGGGCCAAGGCCTCCAGAGCTGCTGGTTTCTGTAGGGGCTGCCCCAGCAGCCCCAAGAGTGGGTACAGGGGTGGGAGACAATTCCACTGGCTTTGGAGGAGGGATTCGGGGAAGATATCTGGCAGGATCAGGCAACCAATTGTTGGTGTGAGGGGAAAGGAAGGATGAGCAGGGATGGGGTGTCTATCCCCCTCTGGTGCCCACCCTCTGGTGCCCACCCCCCCTGTGCCTGCCCCATGCAGGGCAATGCTGAGAGGATTCAACCCTGGCCCAGCCCCTAGAGTCCCTAGGCTGGGGAGTGAGAGCTGGCCCGCCTCCCCAACCCCCCCACCCCCCATCCCTGGAGTCAGTGTTGAGACTGAGGGAGCAAGCGGTGGGGTCCCAGATGAGGGGGGAATGGGAGGTGTGGAGATTTAAGGGGGTTACTGGCTACTTCCTGACCTCCAGCACGATCCCTAGCCCCACCAAGCAATCACCTCATCTCCATTCAATTCTTTGACTATTAAAGGTGCCCTTACTCTCCGCCTAGCCCCCAGTGCAGCACACTCCAAATTCCATGACCTCTAGCACCTCCCACCATGCCCTGCAGAGCCGTCTCATCTCTCAGTGACCCTCTCCAGCCCCACACAGTTCCCTGCAGCTGCCCCAGCAGCCCCCATGACCATCATAGGCACACTGACAAAACTGTCAGATAATGGTGAGAGGAAGGGAGAAAAATGGAACAGGAGGGGACAGGAAATGCTAGGGGCAGGGAGGAGATGCTGCACCAGGACCGAAGAAAGTGCGAAAAGCTGGAGGACAGAGAACGGTCAGGAGGCACGGTGCATGCAAAGGCCCTAAGGTGGGAACAGCACAGAGTGGGTGGGACAGAAAAGGGAGAGTGAGCAGCGGATGTTACGAGGGGAGGGTGGGGGTTTCAGGGCCACCCAGGGGCTTATGGGCCAATAGGAAGGGTGGGCTTCCCTCTAGGTGAAAGGGAGCCACAGGCTGGTCTGGTGCAGGGACAGCTGCCGTCATGGGGAGAGGCACGGAGAGGTGATGCCTCAGGAAGGGCCCCCCAGTGAGGTCCCCGTGCCATTCTCAGCATTTCCCCTCTGCTCTAGCCACCCTGCCCTGACTCCGCCCCAGGGTCATGGCCACCTGAGCTTGCTCAAGCCCACGGCTGGGCACCCTTCCTTTCGGCTGCCTCCTCTGCTTTCTCAACCTGTTTCCTTCCGACCGGGCCCCGGCCCACTTCCTCACTCTCACATCTGAGAGACTGACCCCAAGACGTTGAAGGGAACTTCTCTTTCTGTGGTTTCAGCTTTGAGCTTTCAATTCCCATGTCCCCGTCAGGCGCAGCTGCGGGATGCCCCCAGGCCCCCATGCTTCCCACTCTCTGCTGAGGTCCCAGGAGCCAGAGAAGCTGGGTGGGCCCAGCAGATGGAAAGGCTGCAGTCCTGGCACAGTTGAGACTAAAGAGGCCTCTGACACATTCAAGGCTCTGGGCAGGCCTGCAGCGGGACTGGGTGGAGGTTAGGGCCGGCTCAGGCCCTGGCTGATGTGGCTCAGTTGGTTGAGCGTTGTCCATGCACCAAAAGGTCTTCGGTTTGATTTCCAGTCAGGGCGCCATCCCAGGTCAGGGCACGTGTGGGAAGCAGCCAATGGATGTTCCTCCCACATTGATGTTTCTCTCTCCCTTCCTCTCTCTAAAATCAATAAAAACATATAAATAAAAACATTTGCTGTGTGTGTGCAGTGGGAACTCTGCCAGAGCGTGTAGTGGGTTGAATTGTGTACCCCTGGAAAGAAACATCCACAGGTCACTATAAAAACACAGAAAATAACCAATGGTGATGATATGAAGAAACTGGAACCCTCGTGCACTGTTAGTGGGAATGTAAAATGGTACAGCTGCTGTGAAAATAGTATGGAGGTGTCTCCAAAAATTAAAAACAGGCCTAGCCAGTTTGGCCTGTGGACTGAAGGGTCCCAGGTTCGATTCCCGTCAGGGGCACATGCCCAGGTTGCAGGCTCAATCCCCAGTAGGGGGCGCGCAGGAGACAGCCGATGGATGATTCTCTCTCATCATTGATGTTTCTCTCTCCCCCTCTCCCTTCATCTCTGAAAATATACTTTTAAAAAATTAAAAACAGCCGAAACCGGTTTGGCTCAGTGGATAGAGCGTCGGCCTGTGGACTGAAAGGTCCCAGGTTCGATTCCGGTCAAGGGCATGTACCTGGGTTGCGGGCACATCCCCAGTAGGAGATGTGCTGGAGGCAGCTGATCGATGTTTCTCTATCATCGATGTTTCTAACTATCTCTCTCCCTTCCTCTCTGTAAAAAATCAATAAAATATATTTAAAAAAAAATTAAAAACAGAATTACCATCTGACCTAGCATTTCTACTTCTGGGTATATCCCCAAAAGAATTGAAAGTCGGGTCTCAGAGATAGCTGTACACCAATGTTTGTAGCAACATTATTCACAAGAACAAAACCATGGAAGCAACCCAAGTGCCCACAGATATGAATGGAGAAGCACAACGTGGTCCATCCACACAGTGGATTATTATTCAGCCATAAAAGGAAGGAAACTGTAACACATGTGACAACATGGTTGACTCTGAGGACATGATGTTGACACAAAAGGACAGACACTGTATGATCCCATTTACATGAGGCCCCTAGACCAGTCAAATTCACAGAGACAGAGTAGAGTGGGGGGCTAGTGGAGGGGGAGATGGAGCTACTGATGAATAGGACAGAGCTTCAATTTGGGAAGATGGTAAGTTTTGGAGATAGGTGGTGGGGATGGTTGTACGACAGTGTGACTGTACCATTTCTGGATACCGAGAAATGGTTAAGATGGTGAGCTTTACATTATGTGTATTTTAACGCATGCACACGCACACAGACACATACATGGTATGTCCAGGTCCTAACCCCGGGTACCTCAGAATGTGACCTTATTTGGAATTAGGGTCTTTGCGGATATAATTAGCTAAGGATCTTGAGATGAGTTCATCTTGGACTTAGGGTGGTCCTTATCCAGTGTCAGTGTCCTGAATAGGAGAGGACACAGAGATACTCACATAAGCCATGTGAGGACAGGCAGAGCCTGGAGTGACGTTGTCACAAGCCCGGGGTTGCTGGCAGCCCCCAGAGGAGCCTGGGAAGACTTTCCCTCAGAGCCTCCAGACGGAGCCACCCCTGCCACCTCCTTGACGTCACACCACAGGACTGAGTCAGTAAACGCTGTGGTACCTGCTGCGCGGCCCCCGGAACTGAGCGCGGACACCATTCCTGTCCTCCACCTGCTGGGATGGGGGCTTCGAGTCTGCCTGGGAGCCCCTTGTCCCACTGCCCACCAAGGACCACAGACAGTGGACACCTGGAGCAAGTGCTCCTTTTATTATAGTTTTTAAATGTTTTTATTGATTTCCGAGAGAGGAAGGGGGGGAGAGAGAGAGAGATAGAAACATTAATGAGAGAGAAACATCGATCAGCTGCCTCCTGCACACCCCCTACTGGGAATCAAGCCCGCAACCCAGGCATATGCCCCAACCAGGAATCGAACCGGCGACCTCCTGGTGCCTATGTCGATGCTCAACCAGCTCAACCACTGAGCTACACCGGCTGGGCCAAAGCTCCTTTTAATATCTGGGCAGAGCCAGTGGCCAGGCCCTGTCAGCACCATGTGGCTTGTCGAACGTGAAGCCTAGAACACAGCCGTGGAGGGGCCCAGCCCCAGGACGATCCCAGCCCCCTCAAGCCGCAATGGGCGCAACGGTGGTGTCCCCGGGACCAGCTACAAAGTGGAATGCTTCTCGAAGGGCACGGTCAGGAGTCGGGCTGCTGCCTCATCCAGGAACCAGCAGAGTTTCCCAGTGTGCGGCTGCACAAGGGCGGCAGGGAGCGGGCTGGCCTCCTTGTCCTCCAAAATGCGCTGTGGGAAGAGGATATGCTGGTGAGGCCCGGGTGCATGCCGGCGCCCCTGAGCTCGCAGGCCCCGGTGGACTAGACTCTCCTGCTCTCAGGATGTGATGTCAGCCTTCCAGCTGCCCCAGCTTAAAACAGTCAGCAGGGGCAGGCCCTTCCCTTCTAGCTCCCGTGACTGTATAGCAGGGTGTTGGCACACCTTTCCTGCAAAGACCAGAGAGTCGCTATTTCGGCTCACGTTGGCATATGGGCATCTGTGTTCCAACAAATCATGGTTGGTGAACACTGACATCTGAATTCTGTTGAATTTTCACATGTCTGGGAATATACTTCTTTTGATCCACCCGCCATCCCCCCCACCCCCGCCACCGCCCAAACTTAAAAAGGTACAAAGTAAAAACCCTTCCTGGCTGGCAGGATTGGCACACGGGCTGTGGTGTGTCAACCCGCTAATGTGACCTCACGGTGAATGGACATTATAAACACTGCTTTTTGCCAGCTGGGCCTGACCCCAAGAACCCTGTGCTTATAAAATCACTGGCTTCTGATCACGACCCTGTGAAGTCACCTCCGTTCCCACCCCATTGTACAGTCTGGGAAGCTAAGGCTCTAAGAGGCCTCTCTCAGGGGGTCTATGGGGGGGGGGCCCTCATGACCCACCTTATAGATGGGAAAGTTGAGGCTGTGGGGGGAGGACCACCTGAAGCCATGGTGGGCACCACTGGCAGGGACATGGGTCTGCTGCACTCTTCAGAATCTGCCCCCAAACCGCAACATTAGCCACCCCTGTGAGGACATCTGGGCCCAATGGTTTGGGGGAGAGAATTATTATTTATTTATATTTCAAAATATTTCCGGTTTCTCCTATAGTTTTGGCATTTTCTTTTTAAAATAATCCTTGCCCTAGCTAGTTTGGCTCAGTGGATAGAGCATCGGCCTGCGGACTGAAGGGTCCCGGGTTCAATTCCGTTCAAGGGCATAGGCCCAGCCGATCAACGATTCTCTCTCATCATTGATGTTTCTATTTCTCTCTCCCTCTCCCTTCCCCTCTGAAATCAATAAAATATATAAATATATTTTAAAATAAATAATTCTTTATTGTTGAAAGTATTACATATGTCCCCCTTCCCCCCCCAATAGTTGTTGATTTTTTTTAATGATGGCAATTAAAATATTCTTTATTTTATTTTACTTTTAATATATTTTTATTGATTTCAGAGAAGAAAGGAGGGGGAAAGAGAGAGAAAAATATCAATGATAAGAAAGAATCACTGATGGGCTGCCTCCTGCACGCCCCCCACTGGGGATCAAGCAACCTGGGCATGTGCTCTGACCAGAAATCAAACCGTGACCTCCTGATTCATAGGTTGACACTCCACCACTGAGCCACACCAAACCAGCTTAGTTTGTTTTTAGTATCTTAGTTTATATTTTCCTAAAATATTATATATAACTATACCTTCTTTCTTATTCCTACTTTTTTTACTTATTCCTATATATGATTTTTTTCCTTCTTGGTTAGCTTTGCCAGTGGTTTGTCTATCTTTTGGACCTCTATATCATTAAATTTTCAAAAATAAAGCCTGGCCAGTGCGGCTTAATGGTTGAACATCAACCTATGAACCAGGAAATCACAGTTCTATTCCTGGTCTGGGCACATGCCTGGGTTGCAAGCTCGATCCCCAGTGGGGGGGCATTCAAGAGGTAGCTGATCAATGATTCTATCTCATCATTGATTTTTCTCTCTCTCTTTTCCCATCCTCTCTGCAATCAATAAAAATATATTTTAAAAAAATTAACCAATTCATTAATTTCTGATTTTGATTTCATATATCCCTTTTGCTGGCTTTAGATTGACATTATTGTTCATTTTTCTAATTCAAGAGTAAGTGCTTGATTTGTTTATTCAGTAGTTTTCTATTTAACTAGAGGCCCGAAGCATGAAAATTCATGCAAGAGTAGGCCTTCCTTCCCCCGGCTGCCGGCACCGGCTTCCCTCTGGCACCCAGGACCCGGGTTCCCTCCTCCGGCCGCCTGCAGGCACCCAGGACCTGGGCTGCTTCCCTCCTCTGGCCACCCGCAGGCACCCGAGACCCAGGCTGCTTCCATCTGGCCACCCGCAGGCACCCGGGACCCAGGCTGCTTCCATCTGGCCCCGGCTTCATCAGGAAGGACATCCGGAATGACATCCTGGTCTAATTAGCATATTACCCTTTTATTATTATAGTTATTTTAAAAATGTATTTTAAAATTATGAATTTACCTCTCAGTGTAGCTGTTGTCTCAGCTCATCAATCTCATTTTGTGCTTACTCATTCCTAACAAGCCTGCAATGGCAGTTTCCATCTCCCCTTCAACCCAAGAATTACTGAAGGATATTGAGATCTGGTGCTTCCAGCACAATAGCACCCGGGCTCCTATTCTGTCCCCAGGCTCACATGCCCCAGCCTTCCTGGGAATGGGCCCCCAGCTTTACCTTCAGAACAGCTGCCTTGCCTTCTCCAGTCGCCACAAAGATGACAGTTCGGGCCGCATTCAAGACAGGGAGTGTGAGGGTTACGCGCTGTGGAGGCGGCTTTGGGGAGTCACTGATGGGAGCCACAATCTTCTCCCGTTCCTGGGGGGGAGTTGAAGAGGACAATGTCACTTCAACTTCTCAAGCACTCACCCACATCAAGCATAATCCATCCATCATTCCATCCCACCCTCCCAATCCTGTGGTACTTGATTTAAGGCCCCCATCATAAGATGGGTAAACCGAGGCTCAGGAGGATAAAGCCAGCGGGCATGCCTATTGGCAGAAGCTGATTCAAACCCTGCTGTAGACAACTCCTGGCCTTCCTGTGGAAGCCCCAGACAGCAGAGGCCAGAGCTCAGGTGTGCGTGGGGCCTGTGTGGGTGCACTCACCTGCAGCAGGGGATGGTCTGGGAAGAGTGAGCAGGTATGGCCATCGGGGCCCACCCCCAGGATCAGCAGGTCAAAAACTGGGATGGAGTCCCCTTGAAAGGCCTGGCCAGGGGGAGAAGACAGTCCACAGAGGTTGCGAGGGAAGGAGAAGAATACAGAGACAACTGTCAGAAAAAGAATCACACGTGGTGCTTGGCCGTGTGGCTCAGCAGCTGAGCATCAACCCAGGAACCAGGAGGTCGCCAGTTGGATTCCTCGTCAGAGCACATGCCCGGGCTGTAGGCTCCACCCTCAGTAGAGGCCGTGCAGGAGGCAGCTTATCAACGATGTTCCTCTCATCATTGTTTCTATGTCTCTATCCCTTTCCCTTCCTCTCTCTCTAAAAATCAATAACACTATATTTTAAAAAAATTTAAAAAAGAATCACAAGTAGCTGTAACACAAGGAATGATGCTCAGCCTCACCTGCATAAAAGGGACTCTAATCTATGAGGTTCTACGTTCACCTGCCCAACTGGCTAAGAATCTGGGGACACAACTGTTTCCAAGATGTGAGGACCCAGGCCAGCTCCTAGGTGTCAGAGGTGAGGGCACCCCAGGGGACCCCAAGGCAGGGGTGTGGCCTATTAATGTGTCTACCCAGGGCGGGGCTGGGTCTGCTGACTGTCCCCAGGGGAGTTTCTGTCGATGACAATCACAGAGTGCTACCTGCAGAACGGCTGTTGCCTGGGATTAGCCATCGAGTGGACAAGGTCTCCCTGTGGCGACTCGAGGGACTCACCTGTCGCAGCTTCTTGGCGTAGTCCTCTGCTGCCTCCTCCACAGGAAGCTGGGGGTTAATGGCGATCACCTGGCTGTCGGGAATGGGCAGCTTGGAGAGCAGGTGGGTCTGTGGCACATGGAGGGACAGTGTCACCAACAGTAATGAATGGGTCTTAGCATTGTGGGTTTGCATTGTGTCCACATGGGTCATCCAGGCCTGTGTGAGTCAGGCTCATAGTGGATCCCAGTGTCAATGCACCAGGGGTCTTTCCAGTCCATGAAGGCTGGGGGTTGGCCCTAGCAGGTTTGGCTCAGTGGATAGAGCGTTGGCCTGCGGACTGAAGGGTCCAAGTTTCGATTCTGGTCAAGGGCACATGCCCCGGTTGTGGGCTCGATCCCCAGTGGGAGACATGCAGGAGGCAATCAATGATTCTCTGTCATCATTGATGTTTCCATCTCTCTCTCCCTCTCCCTTTCTCTCTGAAATCAATAAAAATATTTTTTAATGACAAAATAAAAAGGGACAGGGTTTCGCCCTGGCCAGTGTTCCCAATGGTTAGAGCACCGGCCTGTACACCCAAGGGTTGCCGGTTTGATTCCCCGTCAAGGGCACTACCTGGGTTTCAGGTTGCAGGTTTGGTCACCAGTCCGGCTCATGCAGGAGGCAACCAATTGATGTGTCTCTCACACCAATGTTTCTCTCTCTCCTCACCCCTCCCTCCCACTCTCTCTAGAAATCAATGGGAAAAATATCCTTGGATGAGGATGAACAAAAAACAAAACATCATCAGCTCAAGCTTCTATACAAAAACAATGCAACACCCAGGACCCCCGGGCTCCTTTTCCGGTCACGGCACCGCCCCAGGCCTCCCGGGACGGGTTTCCGCCTCCGGAGCAGGAGGAGTGGGCACCGAAGCCGAGGACCCAGCAAACCAGGGCTCCTCCAGCCTTGTTTCCTGCTTGTAAATCGCTGGGGGCCGGGCTCAAAGACACCGCCTCGGAGGTCAGGAACGCAGCAGGCGGCGTGGAGGCCGGGGAGAGCTCGTCCAGGCTGCAGGTGAAGAGGCCGAAGCCCAGGCTCCGGCCAGACCCCCACCTGGCTCTTCCCGTCACTGCGCCCGAGCGTCCCTAGGTCCCCGGCAGCGGCCACGCTCCCCGGCCGCCCTGGCCCAGGCCGCGCCCTCTCCGCAGCCCCGCCGGCCCATCGGGAGGCAGAGCGGCGCAGCCCAGGTGTGACCTCCGGGGCGCCGGGCCCACCTGGCCGGCTCCCGCCCGAGGAGAGGCCGGGGCGCCGCGTGGCCCTCGGCGGCCCCCGTAGCTCACCCGGTAGAGGCCGTACGTGCTCTCGGCGTGCTCGAAGGGCACCAGGCGCTCGTCGCAGAAGCCCAGCGTCCAGTGCGCGAGGCCAGCCGGCCCGGCGGGGGCGACGGCGGCGGGCAGCTCGCGGGCCAGCATCGAGACGAGGCTGCCGCCGGACAGGCCGAGCGCAAAGCGGGCCCGGGCGCCCGCCACGCAGCACGCGGCCCGCTGTGCCACCAGTTGCGCCAGCGACGCGCCGAGCTCCTGCGGGCTCGAGAAGACCGAGATGAAGCCGGGGGCCGGCGCGGCCATCGCGACGGCGGGAGGCGGAAGCGCTCCGGGCGGCGGCCAGTGCGCCTGCGCGCCGGTCGGCCGGGACGCCCGGGGTTCAGTACCTTGGGCGGCAGCCTCTGGCACATGCGCAGCTCCGCAAGTGAAGCCGGGGCGGGGCAGGGCGGTTGGAGGCTCCGTGCTCATTTATGTTTTTTTGCAAGCTGGGGTGGACACAAGTTCTGTCCTGGGTTGGGGCTGGCAGAACCGGCTCCCAACCTCAGTGTCAGGGCGAGGCCAGACAGGGGAGCACAGAGCTGGGGAACCCCAAGAGGAGGACATGGGGTGGGGTGGAGATATGAGATTTCCTGAAGGAGGACGCATTTTGGTGGACTTTGGAACCTTCTAACATTTATCTTGTTGCTAGTATTGTTTCTTTAATCTATAACACTAAAAGCGTAATATTGCTAATTAGACAGGATGTCCTTCCGGACAACCTTCCAGATGAAGCTGGGGCTGCGAGCAAAGCCCAGGTATCAGGTGCGGGAGGGAAGCCGGTGCGGCAGCCCCGGAAAGGGAAGCCTACCCCTGCACGAATTTCGTGCATTGGGCCTCTAGTTAAAATATAAGCTCCACGAGGGCAGGGTTTGTTTTATTCACTGATGCCTTGAAAGTCTGGAGTTATGCCTAGGACAGAGTGGGACTGAAAACCTGTATGTTCACTTCCTTCTGCAGGTTCTCCCAGGGGACCTCTGTCTCATGGAGGCCCCAGATGCCTCCACCCTGGCTCTTGCCTGGAGGAGCCCCCAGACCAGCTCAGATAGGATAGAGCTTCGCATTTGGCATAAAAGACAGAGCTGTCAAGCCACGGAGGAATCTTAAATGCATCTTGTCAAGTAAAAGAAGCCGGTCTGAAAAGGCAAAACTATGGAGACAGAAAAAAAATCAGTGGTTGTTTGGAGTGGGGGTGGAAGGAATGAAGAAATGGAGCACAGAGAATGTTTAGAGCAGTGGTGCTCAACCTTGGCTGCACATTAGAATCACCTGGGAATCTTTTTAAAATCCTGATTTCTGGGCCTCATCCTCCGGAAATTCTGTTTCTTTGTTACCAATGTTGTGGCCTCACCCCATAAGAAAGAAACAGAATTTCCGTTGGATGAGGCCCAGAAATCAGGATTTTAAAAAGATTCCCGGGTGATTCTAATGTGCAGCCAAGGTTGAGAACCACTGCACTAGTTGAAATAGAATTTAGAACACAGTGAACCTTAATTTAAACTGCAGGCTTGAGTAAATGAATCAATATTGGCTCATCAACTGTAACAAATGTAGCACTAATGCAAGATGTTAATAACAGCGAGAAGATAGGTAGGAACTCTGTGCTTTCCACTCATTTTTCTGTAAACTGAAAACTGCTCTCATGGAGTCTCTGACTTAAAAACACACACACACAACATAGAGCCTGATCCTAACTGTCATCAGGAATGTTTTTATCACCATCTGGGAAGGAACTTAATTTAGTTTTTGCAGCTGGAGTCACAGGCTTTGGGAACTCTCCAAGGTCCCCACAGGACCACTTTCTCGACAGGAGACCCTGGCAATGACCTCATTCCCCTCTCCGTGCTCGTTTCCTTATCTGTATGGGGGGACCATGATGACACTATGGAGTGGGGATGTTATCCAGAACACCCGTGCTTGTAAGGACACCAGAGTGCTCCATGCTCACTGGCAGCAGGCCCTTCTCCTCCCCTCACTGGGCATCTCAGAGAGCTCTATCTTACCTCCCTCTCCTTGCAGACCGGGCATCCAAAGACCCACCCCACACATTGATGGTTCATCTAGCCTTGACCCAGCCAAGGCCCTGTCCGTCCCCCGATACACCCCCAGGTTCACCCACTCAGTACCCCTCCCAGCCAATGTTCTGCTGTCACAAACATTTCTTCCTCTGTCCTCTGAAGTGGAGACAAGATGAGACACTAATACTGGAGGGAACAGCAGAAGGTAGAAGTTGAGACTCTGGAGCTCAATGTCCTGGGTTAATATTCCAGCTCAGTCACCCAGAGCTACAGCCACACCTGCTGGCCCCATACACAGAGGGGCACCCTTCCTGGGGCAGCAAACCGTGCCACCCACAACACACGCTCTGTTTTGGGCCATTTTGTGCAGCTGTTGAAACCAACAGGCAGATTGGCCGACTCTCCTCTAGGACCACTGAGGTCAGAACAGGGCTTTGTGAGGCCCCAGAGGCTAAAGGTAGCGGTGAGAATGCTAACCTGAGTCCCCCTCCTCCCAGAGGCCATACTGGTGTAAGAACAGGCAACAGAGGGCAACAAGAAAAGGCCAAATCTGCCTCGCTCGTCTCTGGTGCAGCATGTTCCCCAGTGAGGATCCTGTCTTCAGAGACTCAGGTTTCTGTGCACATGGGGACAGTGAACAACTGGGCTCACATCAGGCATCGGATAGTCTGCAGCTTTATTTCTTAAACTCAACTATAAAACAAAACCTTGGTGCTTGGGAAGGCCCATGCAAAACAATGCAGGGTCACTGGCTACTGGCCCTACTGCTTTTTGTTCTAGGTGCTGGACGGCACTGTTGGAGGATTGACAGGCAGTCAGAGTGGCCAGCCCCAGTAGGAGTACGGGATGAGCCACCAAGGCAGGCTGGATTGTCTAGGATGTCACCACCAACACAAGGTCCAGGCTGTCACTAGCAAGGCCAGTAGGGACATTCAATGACTGGAACCCCTGAGGCCATTTTGGATGCCACCAATGGCAGCCCCCCCCCCCCCCCATTGCTGCCACTCCCACGGGTCCCACAGCAGCTGTGCTGGATGGGGACACCCAAGAAGCCTCTTCCAGGGTGAGCATCTGAGTGGTGGGCAAGCAGCCACCCAGCACAGTCTTCAGGGTCCCTCCAGCAGGAGCTCTGTGCAGATGCCTGAACAGGGACATCCAGGTAGAGGCAACATCCAAATGGTCACAGCAATTCTGGAAGCGTCCAGGACATCAGGAAAGGCAGGCCAGGCAGGGGGGACCCACCAGGGATGGGAAGTGCAAAAGGCAACGGGTTTGGCTTAGGAGCGATTTCCAGCTGACCCGGAGGTCCCTGCCGATGCCCCTGCACTGGGTGGGGAAAGCAGACCACTCTGGCGCCTCCATTTGGCAGGGCGGGCAGAGGGCCTGCCTGGATTTCACATGGGACTACACATCCTGGAACCCAGCAGCCTCAGAAGACTGGACTGGGTGGGGCTCCGTAAGGCACAGCTGAGGGGAAGTGGGAAGGCCCCACTCTGGGTCTAAGGCTCAGCAGGGATGATGGATGGAGGCCCCAAGCAAACGCCGGGTCCCAGGAAATGTCTGCTCTGCACTTCACAGGAGAACAGAGGAGGAGAGAGGGGAGATGGAGGAAAAGAGGGGAAAGGTGAGGGCAGATGGGGACAGCGGGGAGGCCACGGCCAGGAAGCAGAGAGGAGAAAGAGACATAGACACAGCAGAAGACAGGCAGAGAGGGGCAAGGAGACAGCTCAGAGGACCAGGCAGGGGAGACGGGCTCCTCCTGGGGTCCAGTTTCTCCGCCCCAGGACAGGGCAGAGCTGTCTGGCTCCAGCCCACCTGGCTTGAGGGGCCTGGCCGGGAGTCTCTGGCCAGCAAAGGAGGAGCTTCAAAGGGAGAAGGAGCCCGAGCAGATCTGGGTGTAGACACCCTGGTCCAGGGGCAGGTAGTGTCCCTGCTTCAGGTCCAGGAAGAAGAGTCGGTCTGAGGTCTGGGATGGGTCAAAGCCTTCATGCTGCAGCCGTGTCTTCTGGATCTTGAAGGTGCCTGTGGGGTGCAGGGGGAGGTGAGGGCGAGGCAGGTGGCTTTCAGGAGCCCCCAACTCACCATCCTCTCCCGTGACTCCAGGCTTTTGCATATGCCCTCCCCGCGGCCAGGAACATTCTTCCCCGATTTGCCTGCCCAACTCCTCCATGTCCTTCCGGCCCGAGCTTCATGTCCCCTCCTTCAAGGGAGGCCTCTCTGACCATCCTCATCACAGCCGGAAACTGTGCACTCGCTGCCTGGTTACCTGTCTACTCCCCGCCCCCGCCCCCCCGGCCCCCCAATGAGACCGAGGCAGAGAAGGGTCTGTCACACAATAGGTCAGGGGTCAGCAACTTAAAGCCCAAGGACCAAATTCAATCCACCGCCTGTTCAGTAAATAAAGTTTCATAGGCACAAAGCCATGCCCATTCACCTACACACTGTCTAGGCTGCTTTTGTGCTACAAGGCAGGCCGGAGTAGTTGGGGCAGAGAGTGTATGGCCCACAAAACTGAAAATATTTACTATCCAGGGTCTAAGAAAAAGTTTGCACCCCTGCAGTGGATGATTAAAGAAGGGTTTTGTAAAAGATAGGACTGGGGTTAGTATTAAAAAGCCAGGGAGAACACCTACGTGCTCTAGAGTTGGGAAGGTCTGTTGTTTTTTAAATATATTTTTATTGATTTCAGAGAGGAAGGGAGAGGAAGAGAGACAGACACATCAATGATGAGAGAGAATCATTGATCAGCTGTCCTCTGCATGACCCACACTGAGGATTGAGCCTGCAACCCGGGCATGTGCCCCAACCAGGAATCGAACCATGACCTCCTGGTTCATAGGCCGTCGCTCAACCACCACGCTGCGCAGGCCAGGCAGGTCTGTGTGGGTTTTTTTTAAACAAAAATTCAAAAGCACAAACCATAAGATTTTTTAAAAGAATAAATATGGCCCTAGCTCAGAGGTTAGTGTGTCGGCCTGTGCACTGAAGGGTTGTGGGCTTGATTCCTGGTCAAGGGCACATACCTGGGTTACAAGTTCAATCCCAGACCCCAGTCAGGGCATGTGCAGGAGACAACCAGTCAATGTGTCTCTCTCACATTGATGTTTCTCTCTCCCCCTCCCTCCTTCCCTCCATCTCTCTCTCTAAAAATCAATGGAAAAAATATCGAGTGAGGATTAACAAAACAAAATAAAACAAAAAAATGATAAGTATGTAACAAAACTAAGGGTTTCTTTTCAACAAAGGCTATAGTGGATAAAGTTCACAGACTCCCAAATAGGAGAAGAGACTTACAATGTCTGAAATTGCTAAGTAAGTAATA